GAGAGACCGAAGTCGATTCGTACTTTGTCGCATTTGAGCGCGTCGCTAGTAAATTGAGGTGGCCAAAAGATATGTGGGCTTTATTACTCCAGTGTAGTCTAACCGGAAAAGCTCAAGAAGTTTGTTCGGCTCTGCCAATTGAAAGCTCTCTGGACTATGATATTGTCAAGGCTGCAGTACTGCGAGCGTACGAACTGGTCCCTGAGGCCTACCGACAGAAGTTTCGTGCTCATTCAAAAACAGTCAAACAAACGTATGTTGAGTTTGTAAGAGAAAAGAGAGTTCTTTTTGAAAAGTGGTGTTTTTCTAGCAAGGTTACATCCTTAGAGGAATTACAGGAATTAATCTTGCTAGAGGAATTTAAAAATTGTCTTCCGACAAATATCGTAATGCACTTAAATGAACAAAAAGTGGTCTCATTGGCTAGTGCTGCGGTCTTGGCAGATGAGTTTGTGCTGACACACAGAAATGTGTTCTCAGCCCACGCATCTGCCCGGTCTCCATTTGTGAATGTGGAAAGCTCACCAGTACCGCGTGCAGGACATTCATTTAAAAGTGACTCTGCATCTAAATTTGTGCGTAAACCTACAAACAGTGATGATAGGCGAGTTTGTTTTTTTTGCCTTGATCCAAACCATTTGATTGCGGATTGTAAGGCTTGGAAACAAAAGAGCGCGGTTTCCAAACCCCGAAACGTGGCACTTGTGCACACCATGTGTAATGACAGCTCTCTTAGTGGAGAGAGTTATCATCCTTTCTTATTTGAAGGCACAGTTTCCCTATCTCCTGATTCTGGTTTTAAAACTGTAACAATTTTGCGTGACACAGGTGCAGCTCAATCCTTTATATCCGAGAGTATATTGCCTTTCTCTGCTGACTCTTTTACGGGTAATGACGTGCTGATTCGTGGAATTGAAATGCACTGTGTGAATGTGCCACTTCATACTGCGTATCTAAGGTCGAGCATTGTCAGTGGTGTGGTCAGTTTAGCAGTGCGTCCACAGTTGCCTGTTGAGGGTGTTGATCTGATTCTAGGGAATGACCTTGCGGGTGGCACAGTTTTTCCTAGACCAGTTGTGTCATATAAACCGAGTGCAATACAGAAATCTGATCTGGCCGAGAATTTCCCGTCCGTTTTTCCTGCCTGCGCAGTTACCCGTGCCCAGTCCAAGAAATTTGAGGAGGTGGTGGATATCTCAGACTCATTTTTGATTAATGAGCCTGGCTCTGTAGAGTGTGTCTTGTCTGTTACTCCAGACCCTGACCGTGACGTAGCTATCCATAGAAGATTAAACTCTGAGACCCCTCCAAAGACAGGAAGAGAATACTTAGCTACAGCACAAAAAGCAGATCCTTCCCTAGCCAAGTGTATAGCGGCTGCAGATGGTACTTCACATGTGCCTAATTCGGGTGTAGCTTTCTTTTGGGAACGTGGATTGTTAATGCGTAGGTGGAAACCCCAGCAAGAAGATTTAGGCTGGCAGGCAGTACAGCAGATTGTCTTGCCTGTTGATTATCGGCAACAAGTCTTAAAACTTGCCCATGAAAATGCTTTGTCTGGACATGTCGGTGTTACGAAAACCTACCATCGAATTACTAGGTTTTTCTTTTGGCCTGGTCTTAAGTCAGCAGTGTCCAGATTTTGTAAGTCGTGTCATACTTGTCAGCTCGCAGGAAAACCCAACCAGAAGATCCCTCCTGCACCTCTCTTTCCTATTCCAGTTGTAAGTGACCCATTTGATCGCTTAATTGTTGACTGTGTTGGACCGTTGCCCAAAGCTAAGTCAGGACATCAATACATTCTGACCATTATGTGTGCTGCGACTCGCTTCCCAGAGGCTGTTCCTTTACGCACGTTAAAAGCTAAGGTAGTGATAAAAGAACTACTCAAGTTTTGTACTACTTTTGGATTACCAAAAGTAGTTCAAAGTGACCAAGGGTCAAACTTCACTTCCAAGGTTTTTAAACAGGCATTAGAAACCCTTGGAATATGCCATCAAACTTCTACGGCATATCACCCTGAGTCGCAAGGTGCACTTGAGCGCTTCCACCAAACCCTTAAAACAATGCTACGACGATATTGTGTGGAAACCGGGAAAGACTGGGTTGAGGGTCTTCCTTTTCTGATGTTTGCAGTAAGAGAATCTGTGCAGGAGTCCCTTGGTTTTAGCCCTGCTGAGCTGGTGTTTGGCCACACAGTGCGTGGCCCTCTAAAACTGTTAAGTGAACAGCTGCTGAATCCAAGTTCCATAGCTTTGCCTGTTGATGACTATGTCACTTCTATTCGTGAGAAACTCCACAAGGCCCAAACTCTTGCAAAGCTTCATCTGTCTACAGCACAGTCTAAGATGAAGGCTTATTTTGACAAAAAGTCAGTGAAAAGAGATTTTAGTCCTGGTGATCGTGTCATGGTTCTACTTCCCACACCTGGTTCTATTTTACATGCAAAGTTCTCTGGTCCATACCTGGTTGAAAGGAAGTTAAATGAGTCAAACTTTCTGATTGCGACCCCAGACCGCAAATGTAAAAGCCGTGTTTGTCATGTAAACAGGCTAAAACCCTATGTGAACAGGGCTAATTGTGACTTGACAGTAGAGCAAACTGCGGTTCAACCAGTGGTGTCCTCTGTTGCCGCAGTAGGTGTAATGGCGAATTACTCATTAGAGGAAGATGGTTTAATGTGTAGAGATGTACCAATTTCCTCTACCAGGTTAAATAATTCTGCTATAATGAAAGATTTTCCACACTTTCTTTCTCATCTGACTAATGAACAATCTTGTGGTTTAATTGAATTACTGCGTGCCTTCCCTACCTTGTTCAGTGACGTGCCAGGTAGAACTACTGTGTGTGTTCATGACATTGATGTTGGTGATTCTGTCCCCATAAAACAACATCCTTACAGGGCAAATCCTAGAAAACGTGAGATCATGCAGACAGAGGTTGAGTATATGCTGCGCTATGGGCTGGCCGTCCCCAGCCAGAGCCCTTGGAGCTCCCCCTGTTTACTTGTCCCAAAACCTGACAACACCTTTCGCTTTTGCACTGATTATCGGAAGGTCAACAAAGTAACAAAACCTGACTCTTTCCCTCTTCCAAGGATGGAAGATTGTGTAGATAGAGTTGGATTAGCAAACTTTGTCACAAAACTAGATCTGTTAAAAGGTTATTGGCAAGTGCCCCTCAGCCAACGTGCTTCTGAGATTTCAGCGTTTGTCACGCCTGACCGCTTCCTACAATACCAGGTTCTAGCTTTTGGAATGCGAAACGCTCCCGCTACGTTCCAGCGTATGATGTATCAAGTACTCTCAGATGTGACTAACTGTGAGATATATCTGGATGATATTGTGGTGTATTCGGATAACTGGACAGATCATGTGAAAACACTCGAGAAAGTGTTCAAACGCCTAACTGCTGCTTCCTTGACTCTAAATCTTGCCAAATGTGAGTTTGCGAAAGGAGTTGTTACCTACTTGGGTAAACAAGTAGGTCAGGGAATGGTTAAACCTGTTGATGCTAAAATTGCAGCCATTCTTGAGTTCCCTGTACCCTGTAATAGACGAGAGTTGAGACGCTTCCTCGGAATGAGTGGGTATTATCGAGGTTTCTGTCCCAATTTTTCTGCCATAGCCTCTCCTCTTACAGACCTCCTTAGTACAAACCGAAGATTCTTATGGAGCAATGACTGTCAACTTGCCTTTGATGCTGCCAAAGATCTCCTCTGTCATGCTCCTGTTCTGTCAGCCCCAAACTTCAAAATGCCTTTCAGTCTGCAGGTGGATGCAAGTGCTAAAGGAGCTGGTGCAGTTTTGCTTCAAGAGGATGAGTGCCATATTGAACATCCTGTCTCTTACTTTTCTAAAAAGTTCTCCAAGACTCAGCAAAACTATAGTGTAATCGAAAAGGAAGCTCTATCCTTGTTGTTGGCTCTTCAACATTTTGATGTATACTTGGGGAGTAGCTCTAAGCCTATTGTTGTATACACTGATCATAACCCTTTGGTTTTCCTTTCCCGTATGTCAGGTTCCAACCAGCGACTATTACGGTGGTCTCTCACTGTCCAAGGATATGATCTGGACATCCGACACAAGAAAGGCACTGAAAATGTTATGGCTGATGCTCTCTCTAGAGTTTAAAGGGTTACAGTTTTCTTTGAACCTTGTACCTTTCTTAAATAAGAATGTGGTAAGGGTGTATATATTTGACTACAAACTCTAGTTTGTATTCTTGGTGGTGGAGGTGTTACGTCCTGGAGACGTATTATATTAAAAGTGTTTTTGATGTGTAATTTACTTTGTTAAATTGTTGTGTTTGTTGTGCCCTGTCAGTCTCTCCCTCACTCTGATTGCCTTGCAGCCAATTAACCACACCTGAGGCTCGTAAGGAGAGTTGCAGAGCTACACTATAAGAGAGCAGAGTGAACACTTCTTGAGGAGGTTCACTTCTCCCCTGCACCAGACTTGTGTGTTGCTAAGTGTGAAACTGGTGTGTTGTCCCTGTGTGGTACAGTTGAGCTTGTTTTTGGTGTGCTTTGTGTGATCAAGCAATCTCTTTTTTTCTTCTTCTTTATAACTTTGTTTGGTAACTAAAAGGTATTGTATAGCAACTTTTTGTTTGTTTTGGAAAGCAGTAGGGAGATTGAGTCACCACCTTTTTCTTTTTATATATTAATCCTTGTTTTTGGTTAGTCAGGGAGTGGAGGGAAGCATATGTTGTTTATTTATTTTCTTTTACCTGTGTAGGGCATTTAGTTTTCCTTCAAATAGTAAGCTTCCTCTTTTGTTTGTTGTTTTGGTCTGACCTTCTCCTGAAGATTGAAAGCTTCCATTTTCTTTGTTTAAATGCAATAAATCATTTTACGTTTGCATCAAGTGTTGGCTCACATTTCTGGGGCAGAGGACTGAAGGGAACCCTCCACGTTTACGTTCTTTTCTATTTATTTAAGTTTGTTACCCTCTCCCAACCCTAGACTGGGAGTAGATCGTAACAATATGTATCCACAGGGTTGAAGTTTGTGCAGAAGTTTGCAGGTACAGTGTGATTGACACCGTTTTCTTCAATACATTTACAATACTTTGTTAATCTGTATTATATACGGTACATCTGAAAATGTTTGTTCTGAGGTTGATTGATAATATCTGATCTCTCTCAGTGGATGTGACTCTGGATCCTGATACAGCGAATCCATCCCTCATCCTGTCTGATGATGGAAAACAAGTCAGTCGTGGAGACGTTAAGCAGGACGTCCCAGAAAACCCAAAGAGATTTAATGTGGGTTTTCGTGTTCTGGCAAAGCAGGGATTCAGTTCAGGGAGATTTTACTATGAGGTGCAGGTGAAGGGAAAGACTGTGTGGGATTTAGGAGTGGTCAGAGAATCCATTATCAGGAAGGGGAGGATCATACTAAAACCTGAGGAGGGACTCTGGGTTCTGTGTCTGACTGATGAGAATCAATATACAGTTCATGATAATCCAGCAGTTAATTTCCCTCTGAGAGTGAGACCTGAGAAGGTTGGTGTGTTTGTGGATTATGAGGAGGGTCTGGTCTCTTTTTATAACGTCAAGTTCAGATCTCATATCTACTCTTTCACTGGTCAGACTTTCACAGAGAAACTCTATCCAGTGTTTAACCCAGGCCGTAATGATGAAGGTAAAAACTCAAGACCACTGATTATCACACCGTTAAAATAAGAAAACAAAAAAACAAATCTGATAAGATTGCTGTTTTATATATATATAAAAATAATTTGCACAAACCGCAATCAAGAATTTCTTTCTTACAATATGTGATAGTCAAAATGTGTACAAGTGCAACAAAATAAAACTATATTTATGCCCTTGAAAATCAGTCACAAACAAAACATCCACTTTAATGAAATGTTACATTTGTGAGTTATGTTGTGTGATTTTTTTTTTTTTTAACAGTTACCTTAAAATGGCCAGCTTATAACGAGTCTATATTTTCGAATCAACACAATTATATGTTTGCTTCTGCTTTTCAAATCCATGACATTGTAAGGGTGGTTTTCCTACAGGGTTTCAGGCTGCAGGTCTGCCGAATGACTAAAGAAACATTATCAGCAAGATAGTAGAAAACTGTACATTTTCGGTCTAACCACTGACTGCAACTTGTACCAACGACGTAAATAAGCGCAGTTACAATAGCTAAATATGTTGGAGAGCGTTGCTATTGTGTGATGATAATGTATTGCTATAGGTAGCACTTCAAAGTCAAAACCAAATTTAGTTAACACATTATTTGTAATTGAAAGGGTTTAGTGACAATGTGGTTATGGTTACACTTAAAATTGTTACAAAATAGAATTATTAGATGATAAAACTTATACCATTAATCGTACCCAGTATATATGTAAAATGTTACCTGAGGGATAGATAGATGGGGAGAGAAGGAGAGAGAGAGTGGCTTTAGAAAAGAGTCGAGGAAAAAAGCCAGAAAATAAAAGAGCCAGAGCAACTGTTACAATCTTCGTTTATCTCTTCCTTGACCACGTGACTGTAACCAAAAAAGTGAGACATTCAAACTGACCAATCAGATAATTACAACTACCCCCGCCATACTAAAAGTGTGACAATTAGAAGACACCGGTTGTCCACCTATTTTGGCTTACAGGCCTTGATCCAGAGCCGGCCCGAGCCTTTTGGGGGCCCTAAGCAGAATTTGATTTGGGGGCCCCTGCTTGACGATTATTGACACAAATATCACGCAATAATGATACATTATAAATGAATATAGTGAGGTTATGTATTAATACAAAATAAATACTTAATAAAAAATAGATAGCCTACTTAAATAAAAAAGTTTTAACTTTTACTTTACTTTTACTAACGCTTTGAAACTTCTTAAAACAAACTCAAAACATATCAAATAAATTATTTGCTAAAATAATGACAAAACTGAGAAATCAGAAACATAATAAGAGCAAGGGTTCAACAATGACAATTATTGTTGCAAACTGTAAAAATATTATTATTTCTCAACTGTCTTAATACAGTGTAACTTTTTTTATTATTATTGTAACAGACCTTGTTGGATTGTACACATGACAGAATCCAACAAAGTCTGTTACTATAATACCGGTAATGATGTACTGGCGCTCGTTGTATATGTGTGTATGCAATGTATTTTTCCCCTCTGGGCTTGCCGTAGATAGGAATGGGTCAATTGCTGCACAAAACATACCGTAAATAATCATGCAAATATAGTTTTATCTGGCTCTTTTTATCCTCCTCTGTCCTTTTCTTCTTTCTATTTTCGGCATCAGAGGGATACGTCCTTTTTTGTGACATGGCTTAACATTACCATGACTATGCGCAGTTGCACACGAATTGTCTATGCACGCGCGAGGTGTAGTGTCTAGATTATGCGCATGACTTAAACGCTGGCAGACACAGCAGCAGTTGTAGGCAGGTATATTGATCATGAAATCAGAATTTTCTTGTCTCGAATTATTCATTCATTCATTAATTTATGTCACTTGTTTAAGTCATCTAAAAAATATATTTTTCGATTTGTTCGACTCGGTTGGGGGGCCCCCTGGTGGCTAGGGTTCGCTTATGCCTCGGGCCGGCCCTGCCTTGATCACTATCAGCATCTCTGCCTTTAGGAATTACAAACAGAAAAAGAGAGGTTGAAACAGTAAAAGCAAATGTCTTTGTTCATTTTCAAATATCTTTGATTATTTTCAACCCTACAACATTTTACATAATATGATTTAATATTATGTTGTGAAATTCTACATAATATACTAAATTTCCAAACATGAAACATGTTATTTTGTATTGTAATGGAAAATTTTGATTTTAATTTATCTTCAGTAGATATTGCAAAGGAATGTCACATGTTTTTATAATTTGTAGTGTGGTTTGGGAACGGGGAATATATGCCAGTGAACTGGAAATTTATGTATGTTTGTATACCTGTGAACGTGCAGAGTGAGACGGGATGGGGATAGCTGAAGAGGGACCTTCTGACCTTTACGGAAGAGGATTAGGGCCAAGCAATAATAAAAAATAAAACCAACTCGAGATTAAAGTCATTATAATGTGAAATTAAACTTGTTAAATTTCGAGAGAAAAAAAGTCGAAATACAATCTTGAGAATAAACTCATTAAATATCGAGAATAAAGTCGTTGTGTTTCGAGAGAAAAAACTTGTTAAATTTCGAGAGAAAAGTCTAAATAATCGTGAGAATAAACTCATTAAATATCGAGAATAAACACAACGACTTTATTCTCGAAATTTAATGAGTTTATTCTCGAAATTTAATGAGTTTATTCTCAAGATTGTATTTTGACTTTTTTTTTTTTTTGAAATTTAACGAGTTTAATTTCGCATTATAATGACTTTAATCTCGAGATGGTTTTTTTTTTTTTTTATTGCTTGGCCCTAATCCTCTTCCGTAGACTTTAGAGGTCAGGATGTATCTAAATTTGTTGGTCCCAGTGTCAGAAGTAGTGATGAATAGGAGCATGTGCAAAAGTGTGCCCAAGTTAGTGGAAAACTACTAGGAAAATCAACAGCCGAAGCAGATCTGGGTAAAGAATATAAAAGGTGTCGCACAGCTCCTCCTCCTGGTCTTACACTCTGCAGGCACTGAATGTCTGTATGACTGTCTGACCTTCTCTTGCAAGGGAATAAATGACTTTAAAAGACTATTTGATTCAGAGTGTCTCTTACGCAGTGATGATGGTTTAATCAGCCCAGTCTCATCCCAAGACGTCATATGACTGACGCTTTTGACCATACGTCAACATCCGACGTTTTAGGGTACCCTTTAACGTCAGTTAGATGCAGTGCTTTAAGTGGCCCAAAAGAGGTGGCGGTACTCTATTATTATTTATTTATTTATTTATTTTTTGTTGACTCCCCTCCTCCCCTGAGGTAACAACAACTATATTGAAGGGGTTTTATATAAACAGCCGTCAACAGACGACCTTATAAAAAATAATAAATCCTTTTATTAGTTTGTGGATTTGCTTTAGAAAGAGCTACTGAACATAAAATGTGCAAAATGGTATTGAAAAAAATACCTTTAGAAAGAGCTACAGTAGAAAGAGCTACTGAACATAAATAAAATGTACAGAATGTGGATATGAATCCAACTGGAAAAACTTGTGAAAAGATATATTTTGATTAGTCAAATAGCATATAGTGAAGCTCTATAGCCATCTAGTGGTTAAAGTGATTTTTATTTTATTTTAAAACTGCATTTTCCAAAAAATGGCCAAAAATCTTACATTAAACCATGTAAAATTATCCATTTTATCTCCATGAATGAAAGTTAGAAATCTGGGTCTTTTATAAAGTGAATTTGACATAAAATGCTGTTTTTTTTTGTAAAAAGCCTATTTAAATAAATATTTATTTATTTATAGAAATTTAAAAGATATCATAAATCCTCCCAAAACTACACAAATGTTGAGTAAAAACATTAATAAACAGAGTAAAATTACATTTGTAAAAAAAAAAAAAAAATTATTCTGTTACAAAATTAAATGTTATTGTCTGGGGTATAGAGCATCACAGTCCCGCCCACAGCCCGAGAGAGCTTCGGTGCCGGAAGTAAATTTCCCATTCATTTCTCCCATTGACGTTTTGGAAAAACCGTATCTAAAGAGTTTTAGAGCATGTCTGAGGATAGCCAGCTACGGCTGAACTCATAAGCATACAACATATCATTTCGAGTGAAAAAACGAAGAGAAAATCCAAATAAAATCAAAGGTACAAGACTGTGTACATATTTTCATTTCCGAGCGAAGGAACTACTCATCTCATAAACCACCGCGCCTCACTGAAGTCGACTGAAGCCACAACCGCGAAAGAGCCTTTTGAGCGACTTCCAAATCTGACGACGGCCACGCGAACTTATGTGCAGGGAAACTCCTTTTCTGATTTAATGAAGCTTATATGTAAAACACATTGAGCATCTGGCTCGCTCATAGCCTGTACTGCGGCAACTGCACATCCAATGGCGCGGGCGCCTCTGACGTGCGACCAATGAGCTAGCCCTACGTCATTACACGATCTTCAGTCTTCACGGACCTTCGCGGGGTTTAACCTGGGTTTAACCTGACAGTACACGGCACGCACTGTGATGCTCTATTTGTATTTTAACCGAGCAGCTAACACTGACAGCGGCAAAAGCGACGCATGCGCTTTTCACTTGTAAAACTCAAGGGTGTATGGGTAATGTAGTCTCTGCTCTCGGTGGGACGAATTAGGAGGCGTGCATTGTGAAGGGAGCTCTGAAAAGCGGCAGCGCAGCCAAAGGATTAAAACAGATGTGCAAATGAGTGTACCGGTACGCTAAAAGCACGTTCTGGGCGCACGGAGAGGTGGCGGTACGCTCAAGAGCTATATTTGGAAGTGGCGGTACTGAGTACCGGCGCGTACCGGCCCACTTAAAGCACTGGTTAGATGACGCTATCTAATCCTAACCCTACCCCAGACCTAAACCTACCCGCGTCATCTAACTGACGCTAAAGGTAAAGCGTCAGTTAGATGACGCCCTAGGATCGTCATCTAACTGACGTTAAAGGGTACCCTAAAACGTTGGATGTTGACGTATGGTCAAAAGCGTCAGTCATATGACGTCTTGGGATGTGTGTTAGTTTAATAGAAAGTGCTATCAAAGTGTCGCCGCGCACCAAAGCGATTGAGGGCACGCACTGAGACGAGAGAGGTATGTATCAACTCGTCTTAGTTAAGGGAATAACCTAGTTTAATATGAAAAAACTGTGTTAAAGTTATATGAAATATGAAAAAACTGTGTTAAAGTTAAAGTTAAAGTTCCTTTAAGTGCTTCTATATAGATGGAAAATGTGCCACTTCCGAGCACTTGTACTAAACCTTTGATCTTTCCCAATAACAATTTTTTCAATATTTACAGGTGCGCCACTACATTATACATTCTTTTACTGAGTTTCAGCAGCTGCCTCAGGATCATTATCTTTTGGGTCAACCCCCTATAGCCAAACAGTTAGTGACACGGTTTGTTTCCTTGTTTGTATCTAATGATTCAGTGTCTTCAGATCACCTCAAAGTAGCATAGGAATGATACTGGAATTAATATCTCAAACGAGATTTGGGAAGAAGGACTGAAGCGAATTCATGCCTGTTCTATTAATGCAAGATTACAAATTATTCACTTTAAAGTGTTGCATAGGTTACCCTATACCAAATCTAAACTCAATAAAATGTACCCTTCAGTTTCCCTGTTATGCAATAGATGCCAGACTCTGATGGGACGCATACTTTTTGGTTTTGCCCTGAGATTTCTGAGTTTTGGAAGAATACTTTTTCTGTGGTACTCAAACGTTTTTGGAGAAGATATCAGTCCAGATTTTGAGTTAGCTTTTGGATGTTCTGACCCTATATTAGCATTGACACATTCTCAGCATCAACTGTCTCTTATGTTTGGTATGGTGGTGGCTAAAAGGGTGATCTTGATGAAGTGGAAGTCCGCTCTACCACCCAGCTTTCATAATTTGCTGGCTGAAATGGTTGCTGCCCTCAAGCTCGAGAGGATTCGTTTTTCTTAAATTGATGCTTCTAAAAAATGTGATAAAATCTGGGGCCCCTTCCTTAGGTATCTTTTTTAAGTTGAAATGTGTTTGGGCACATGTAAGATGGATAACTTCACTCTTTCACTCCATTGTTAATGTTTTGTTTAAGTTTGATTAAGTATGGCTTTAAGGTGTATATTTTTCACTGGTTAGTGCGGGTTGGGGTGTGGGGGTCTTTTTCCTCTTTGTTTGTTTATTTTTTTTCAGTGTACACAATTGCAGCTTGATAGAAACGACACAAGCTAAACAGGTTTTACAGTGAATGAAAGCATGTTAAAAAAGTCTGTACATTAACAAGCACATCTCATATTTATAACTATGTGATTATATATTAACTAATGATCTGTTAAGCATTATATGTTTGTTAATGATTTATTGATGAAAGTTAATTAAATGTGTTACCAAAAAAGCATCTTGCTAGTGTACTAGACTAACTGGGACTTGTCAAATGACTTACAAAATGTTGCCCTTTTGTTGGTTTGATTGCTTCTATTGTTCTCCTCATTTGTAAGTCACTTGGGATAAAAGCGTCTGCTAAATGATCAAATGTAAAGGCTTATGCTCAGATAATGATTTCTCTTCTTTTTGCTTTCACTGTACTTGTGGACTTCATATAGCTTAATCTTTCCTCCTTTTAAACCCTTGTTCACATACATTCACTTGTGTAATCAATTAGACAACAGATTACAAACGACAGATCACAGCAGACAGTTTTGTGTGATATACACATACAAAGTACCCACATTTATTTTCTACAAAAGCCATCAATTCAAACCTCTGCAAGAATATAACAGACCCTGAGTTGATGTCAAATACCTGTGCCTTCTGAGGTCTCAGAATCCGCAACACTGGTTTTTAACATTTTCTTCGCAACTGATCTGGAGTGCGTTTCCCGTACAACGACGTAACTCGATGCTTCACTACTATAGTATGATGCATCGTTGAAGAAATCAGCTAGCTCGTCACGACTGTTTCCTGAAACCATATTGTCGCAAAGTGGTCATTCAACCACGTTGGTTTATAACGTCACGCACGTGGTGGAGTAATAACTTATTTTAATGAATCTGTTTGAGATCGAATTAATGCTAGATGTCATAAATTGATATAAATTTATTGCGTTTTCCGAAAGCATCATTAGCCAACTTTGGTCGCAAGTTCTGTCATTATCAGCAGTTCAAGGAGTCGGTGTTTCCCGAAACCATCGTAACAACGAACATTCGCAAACGCATCGACATCACAGTTTACTCCAGAGCGGCTATATACATAAATGAACCAAATTAATAACTTTTTTAAAACATCACTGAACTTCAAAAGACAACTGAAAACTCATCTCTTCCGTGAGCACTTAACAAATAAAAAATAAATTCTTTCCTTTTCCTTTAAATCCTCGCTTGTCTGGCTTATGCTTCTCTAAGCAATGCCTGAACTTTGTATTTTGAGCACTTCTTGCTTTGTTTTTGCCTCTTCATGATGACTTGCTTGGTTTAGTCCTTAGTTCGCTTTGGATAAAAGCGTCTGCTAAATGTGTTATGAAGATGCAAGGAGATGAACCCAAATGAAGACAGTGTACAATGAACACAAGGTTTATTGGTACAAAAACAGGAAAACAAAACCCACGAGGGGGCGAAACACGGACGGGACAAGGAATCTTAGGCTGACAAGACTAAACTATGACTGCACAATAAACAAACAATACTTCTAATAAATACTCACAATGACAAGACTTTCCACAAGGTACTCACAGGTATGATTAGCAATGAACCGACACAGGACAGCAAACACAAGGGGATTAAGTAGGGAGACTAATGATAACATAACAGGTGACACAGGTAAAGCAATAATGACAAAACGAGGATAACAAGGGGGCAGGGTTAAGTAACGAGACAACACAAGCACATGGCCCAAACACAAGGCCATGTGCTTGCACACAAAACACGGATCTGTCATGATCCTTCCTCAAGACTAAAGAAAATCAAGGACACAAGGGCAGAATCATGACAGAGAGGGAATGCTGCAGCAGGCTGCGGAGCTGGAACGGGGTCATAGAACTCCACAGTAGAACCAGAGCTCCTCACATCAGACACGGAAGTAGTGCTTCTCATATCTGATTTGGTATTAGCGTTTTCTGCAACCAACTCAGGAACAGCAATCCGTGCAGCCGACTCAGGAACAGCACTCTCTGACGCTGACTCGGGAACAGCACTCTCAGACAGTGAGAGTTTGGAATTAGATGACTTGACAGGGACGTCAAGGATCTTGACAAGACGGGAAAAGTACTCTGACAGGGTTCTTGCAGTAATGACGACCGGCATCTCTTGATTAGCTGAAACTGAGCGCAAAACAGCCTCAGCAGCTGAATCGGCCGCTTCCCTCTCTGCAGCACTCACGACTGCAAGCTCGGGAACAGCCCTTACTGCTGCAGATTCTGGAGCCACGCCCTCAGCAGCCGATTCAGGAACAGTACTTTCGGTTGCAGCGGGCTCAGGGACAGTGCCATCCGTAGCAGGCTCTGGGACAGCGCTTGCAGACACAGGGGATGACAAAGGACAAGAGACTCCCCTCCTCCTCCTCCTCTTCTTTCTAGGTCGCGGAGCAGAAGCCTCTGCCAGGTTCGCAGCCTGTTGGGGAAGTTCAATAGGATCCGTTACAGGTAGCAAAAGAGCAGCCTCAGGAAGGATTGACTCCGTAGCGGAGGACTCCGTAGCGGACTACCACGAGAGACGTCTTCCCCGTTTACCGCATAGACTAATGGACGGAGATGACGCCTCAGGAGTCGAAGCGGCGGGATCACGGGCAGCTTGGCAGATGATGAGCCCGGGGGTGCCTGTGACTCTCCCCAAGATAAGCAATCCACCATATCGTGAACGAACGGCAAACCAGCTTCTCCCGTTCAGCCAGGGGTGGAGGAGAGTTGAGACCTGCAATGAGGTAGCAGTTAGGAGAACATCAGGCAGGAAAAACCTCCTCTCGTTCGCAACCCGGGCATACTCCCTCATAGCTCTCCCTGGGAGGGAATCGGGAGTTTGCCCCTCTTCGAGTCAGCGATGGTCCTGTGCCACCAATCTATAAGGTCATGCTATCGTGCCGTTCGTTCACGATATGGTGTTATCCTCGTTACTCGTTTGGCTCTCAACGAAGGCGGTCGCATTTTCTTCCCCTCCTCTCCCTCACCTCCCCTGCTTTGCTCCTCTCGTCTCTTCTAGTCTACTGCTTGTACTTTTTGAGAGACTCTCTCCGCACTGCTCTCCAAACTAAGAAATTATGGATTTGATCAACTGGTCTCTCAACGCAATTGACACCATCTTCTCGACGAGAAGCTTGGGTTCGGGGGAAGCTGACTGCCCTGCCGGAACGTTCGCAGCTGGATACACGATGGACGCATGGGAGAAGTGGCGGGTCGTGTGTCTGGCGGCTCTTTCCGTGGAGGACATTGAAGATATCTACCTATTCGGAACCATGATAACAGGTTTTCCGCTGATTGGATTAGGTATTGCCCTGGTTTATCGAGAAATTAAGAAGTCGTCGACAGCTGTCCAAAGCTCCACAAGGCTGCCCGTCATGATTGAAGCGGTGGGCAGAGCTGTCAGCACTCAGACTGTGACTATGAACCACTATATGGATAACATCATGGAGAAGCTCACAGCTTTGCAAAGGCAAATGGATCGTTTCGGAGACCAAAATGGACCAGGAGCTGTGTAAATCGGAATGCGGCTACTCGTCCCAAGACCAAACAATCCCAATCTTATCTGCTTTCGGCCCCCCTCATCCAGCACTGGCCTTGGCCAAGGCTGCTGTTGGAACAACAACTCCCCCGGAAGAGCACTGCAGCGAGACGCTCTTGCGTTCCTTCCCCGACTCCCCACAGACACCTGCTGATTGTTGACTCTGTCTGGGACATGATCAGGGTTGTCTCCATGGCAACTTGCTGTGTATCGCTATGACAATCCTGCGGACTTGAGGCACCTAGATTATGAAGCCAGGCGCAGCGACTCTCCAGGCCTACACATACACGAACTTTTACATATATATACAGATATGCAATCACCCACCCACCCCCCCAGCGCCGAAATGGCTGCAGGACCGGATTGCTGCCTGCCTGTACTGGGTTACCTCCACCCCCCACTCCCCTCCCCTGTTGCAAGTCTTGTGTGTTCATGTTGTAGAGTGTACTGATTGTGCTAATGTTGCTGAGGTGTTTTTTACTGTTCCCAAACTGTACTCCTCACAGGAGCATAGTCTGGGGGTTGCCTTTTTTCTCCTCACCTCTCCTCATGTTATGCTGTATTTTCTTCCTCAATGCTCTGTCTTCCTGTCCTGTCTACCCCCTTGTCATATTGTATGTATGTCTGTATGGACAGGTTGATGGCTAATTTCGCTGGTACTTGTGACTAGTGACAATAAAGCTATATATGACATATTATTACATAGGAGGACATTCTGTCTGCTGGGTTCGACTTTGGTCGGTTCATTCTGTTATGACGATGCAAGGAGATGAACCCAAATGAAGACAGTGTACAATGAACACAAGGTTTATTGGTACAAAAACAGGAAAACAAAACCCACGAGGGGGGCGAAACATTTGTTACAGTATTTTTTAATCTTTGTTAAATGTTAGTTAATAAAAATACAGTTGTTCATTGTTTGTTCGTGTTAGTTTAGAGTGCATAAACTAATGTTAACAAATACATCCTTTGATTTTAATAACATATTAGTAAATGTTAAAATTATTATTATTAACTAAGATTAATAAATACTGAAGAAGTATGTTCATTTAGTTCATGTTAACTAAGGTAGTTAACTAATGAACCTTATTGTAAAGTGTTACACATTTTATTGTTTTGTCTTATTATGTGTTATTACTTGTGAAGTGTTTGACAGGATACTTTTTTCTACCAAATCACAACAATATATATTTTTTTATGGATCAGGCCTTTAAAGGTCAAAGTATGTAATGTTGTAATCATGCTCACCTAATATTGGTCCCATCCAGTACACAAAACCATACTCTGCGAAAGTGTTTCCAGGACAGTGGAACAGTATTGAGAATGCCAGTGCTGGGTTGAACACAGCTCCGGTGAGATGTCCACCTTTAAAACACACAGTAGCTTCCTGAACACAGTTGCACTGCAATTATAGCATATGAATGTTACTGAAATATCAATAGACAAGATCTGCATGCTTTAAAGAACAGACAGACAGACAGACAGACAGATAGATAGATAGATAGATAGATAGATAGATAGATAGATAGATAGATAGATAGATAGATAGATAGATAGATAGATAGATAGATAGATAGATAGATAGATAGATAACTTTGATTTGACAATAAAAACACTGTCTGGTGGTCCTGAATAGTTATTATATTTGAACCATGGTACTATCGTGGAATTTTAGATTAGTGCACACACCTGCATAGACTAACATGGTGATGACAGCGGCTATTGCATGAACCTGATATTTCTCCTCCACTTTGTCCTGGTTGGACAGCGCAGAGTGGAATACAAACGCGCAGCTCAGCTCCACCGCGGCGGCCTGCAGCAGAGGGACATGAATGGGGCTGTTCGTGCATTTAAAGTCCATCAGTGTGTGCAGTTCATGCAGGTCAGAGAGCGCCAGTGACCACAGGCGAGGCATCACTAGCCGTGCCACCACAGCCGCGAGCATCTGGCATGAAATCTGTGCCAATGCGCGTCTGCGCGTGAGAGTCCCGCGGGAGAGCAGCTCCAGAGAGCCGGTGGGGCTACAGATCGCACCGTGGAAAGAAAGCATGTGGATCACCGAGATGAGGTACGTGAGGGTAAGTCCGATCTGCGGCTCCAGTCCGCCCACTTCCGCGAGCAGCACTAACTCGTGCGTGCACGCGCACAACTGAAAAGTGGAAATAAACTCCAGCACATAGGTGATCCAGTTACGATTTGGGAATAAATATGAAGCTGTCCTTCTCGCCACCTCGCTAAAAACTACAATTCCCACCAGTAAGGACAGAGAGACGGCGAGATTGGCCATCTCTGGCAGCTTCGTCCGGCCTCGCAACGAATAATCCTGCAAAACTCCTGTCAGGCAACTTTAAAGCGGTTCCACCTTTGCGCAATTTACCCCGCCTACTACAATTCAATCTGTGCAGGTACAATGGCAAAATACCTGACTCATGATGAACAGGGCTGGACTGGGACAAAAAATCGGCCCTGGCACTATGACCACCATAAACACAAGCGATCTTTGCACGTCCTTGAATATGTATAGCCTATTCCTTAAAATCACTAATGCGATGTAATGAGTTGATACATAGTTACAATTTAACTATAGCCTCCACAGTGATGAATCCTAACTATCTATAAACTGCATTGGTATACAGGTGAAACTCGAAAAATTTGAATATTGTGCAAAAGTTCATGTATTTCAGTAATTCAAATTAAAAGGTGAAACTAATATATTTACTATATATAACTATATACATATGCATGATTATACTTTTCAGAAGGCTGACATTTTTTGTATTTAAAATCCTTTTTTTAAATTGATTTCCTGTAATATTCTAATTTTCTGAGATTTTGAATTTGTGGTTTTCATAAGCTGTAAGCTATGATCATCAATAGGCTATTATAACTTTTGCACGATATTCTAATTTTTCGAGTTTCACCTGTACCAGTGTTTCCCACAGGATCATTCGTAAATCTGTGGTGAGTGGACCTCTTTCCCTCTACGGGGGTTCGGGGGCATGCTCCCCCATAAGAAAATTTTGTGCTTTTTAATGTTAAATTCATTAAAATGGTGCACTTTGAGATTTCAAAATTAAGAGCTCCAACCCATATTCAGTGTGCAAATTGAACAAAGGAAACCTCAAAACTCTTCTAGTTGTGATAAAGTGTCTGTCTACATTACACGACTACATAATAATAGTTATAATATTAATCCCATGACAGTAATAGCCATATATTGTAAAACAAATGCACTGGAAAAATAAAAGAAACTTTCATAATTAGTTTTGTACTAATTTCTATACTTGAAAGAGATAAACGCATATCTTTGTCGGAAACTGCATTGAGCTTCTATTTTGGCGGAACACATGGTTTCCTTTGGTTGAAGTTTGGTTATTTAAGAAATTTATAGCACCCTCCATATCCCTCCTCGTCTCCTCTCTCCTCTGTCCTCCATCCTATGACCCGGAAACCGATCGAGCTCAGCCATCTTGAAGGACATCTAATTTCTCTAATTGCACCGCGAGGAGTCGAGGATCGAGGATGAGGTTTCCTGAGGAGCTATGAGTGAGGATGCACAGGTGTATCCTATGCGGAAGTGTTTTATCGACTAAACTGATGCACACATAAATTCTCCTCCCCCTTCACATCGGTCACAATCATTTGAATTTATACTTTACCTTTGCAGTTTATATAAACCACACATCTCACATATTTCAACAGTGTCTCTTGCTTTATTATTATTTATTACTAATTTCTTAAATAACCAAACTTCAACAACATAAGGGCAGATCCTTTGAGCGCAGCCGATGGCGCTGTGAAGTGACGCTCAAGTGATCAAGTATTCCAATGTATAAAAAAACTTTCATTCGATTCCTCCGTCCTCATTTTATTTCCTTGCAGCCTTCCCTCGCGTCCTACAGGGGGTGGAGCTGAGACGCGAGGAAAGGAAGCGAGGATGCACAAATAAGAATTGAGAAGTGTTCTGAAGTAGCCTAGTTCTGTTTACCGCAGTTCTCTTTTTTTGTTTTGTTTTTTAAGTATGAGATGTATCGGCCCAAAAAGCACGTCGGCCCACCGGGGAAAGTGCCCGGTCTGCCCGATGGCCAGTCCACCCCTGTCATAACTGCACATCTCCTGTGAATACAGAGGCTTTCTGTAAGCCTCCTTGGTAAGCCGTCCTGCTTAGGATTCAGGACACTTTAGGAGTCGTCTTGGTAAGGTCTTCGTCCTCATAGCTCAGCTAGGCATGCTAGATTGCTAAGGCTCTCTGAAACCCAGGCTCCCAGTAAAGCGTTCAAGTCCTCCTGAGTTCGTATTTATGAGGTGGGAAGTCATGTTTACGACGTCATGTGCGTTCAAGTCATTTTCGTCGGAGTAAGATGGCGGAGTACTTTCTCTTAATTACAGTTTTTTTCAATCGCTAACAAGCGCTTACCCATACTTCAGATACTTTTTCTAAACTCTTAACACAGACTCACACCTACAAAACACAATTGGCCAAATGGTTAATTTTCTTCTCAAAAACACATTTTGTTAAATATATACTAACTCTTCATTTCAAAATAGAACACATCTTTCTCTGCACACACTAACTTTACCAAAACACTGGAAATCTGTCTCAAAGTGAAATTATTCTGTCAAAGAATAACACTTGTTTTCACTTCACACGGTACATGCAGTCAATCAAAGTACACCAGGTTTCAAAATACTGGCTATTGTTGACATTACAAAAACTACATAGACTTTGATGTTTCAGTTTTACAGGTATTTGCATGCAAAACATGCAATCCAACCTTTTTACACTAAATTTCTTGGTTGGGAACTGTATGTCCACATGTACAGTAACGTTCACATTCAAAAGCATTCTAGTAAAAAGCAAATCAGTTTTTCACTTTACTGTTTACAACAGGAGGTACAGTAGAAACACGGTATGAAAGAACAGAAAAAGGTTTACAGTATTGCTTACAAAAAAGCACAAAATTACTGTATCTAATCTCGCGATCTTCAGGGTTAGGCCACATGTTTTCATCAAATATTGCACTTCTGCATCTCTCACTGCACCTCTCACTGCACCTCTCACTGCACCTCTCACTGCACCTCTCACTGCATCTCTCACTGCACCTCTCACTGCACCTCTCACTGCACCTCTCACTGCATCTCTCACTGCATCTCTCACTGCACCTCTCACTGCATCTCTCACTGCATCTCTCACTGCATCTCTCACCGCACCTCTCACTGCATCTCTCACTGCATCTCTCACTGCATCTCTCACTGCACCTCTCACTGCATCTCTCACTGCATCTCTCACTGCATCTCTCACCGCACCTCTCACTGCATCTCTCACTGCACCTCTCACTGCATCTCTCACTGCACCTCTCACTGCACCTCTCACTGCACCTCTCACTGCATCTCTCACTGCACCTCTCACTGCACCTCTCACTGCACCTCTCACTGCATCTCTCACTGCACCTCTCACTGCATCTCTCACTGCATCTCTCACTGCACCTCTCACTGCATCTCTCACTGCACCTCTCACTGCACCTCTCACTGCATCTCTCACTGCACCTCTCACTGCATCTCTCACTGCACCTCTCACTGCACCTCTCACTGCACCTCTCACTGCATCTCTCACTGCATCTCTCACTGCACCTCTCACTGCATCTCTCACTGCACCTCTCACTGCATCTCTCACTGCACCTCTCACTGCACCTCTCACTGCACCTCTCACTGCACCTCTCACTGCATCTCTCACTGCATCTCTCACTGCTCCTGCTATTCTCCCTGGGCCCCTTGCTCTTACTCTTCCTCGTCCAGACATTACAGTGTTTGTCTTTTTCTGTTTCTGTTTCCAAAAACATCACTCCTCAAAGTCCTAATTTTACTGTATAAGTGTCAATGTAATAGAAAAAAAAAAGGGTAATTTTGGGTTGGCCCAATTTACCCAACATAAATAAGCTGTGGGTCAATTACAGTTTTTCAGAATTGCCAAAACACTAAACCCCATTCTCTGAACCAAATTCTCATAAGCCTAAACCAATTTGTCAGATAAATCACCCTTTCTGTAAAACATTTAACAAGTTCAGGTAGTTAAAGTAACAACAGGTAGTTTTTTGCTCTCGGGCTCCCCCTACAGTTGGGAAACAGTATTGTCCTCTACTACGGTCGTAAACTCTGTCATCCTACATGCACGTGCAATTGTTGACAACCAGGATAGCCCTGAACACTGTAGGAGGAGGTCACATGCAGGTGTTCTGCTTGCGTCGCGTGTGAAATGTCTTCATCCCAGGTACAGTGGCATATATTTCAGCATGTCATATGAATATAATTTCATGGGTTTTATTTTTTTTCTAACGACAAATGATCGCGATGCTCACGTTTACAAGCCAGCGTCATTATAGTAGCCTAGTCTATTGGTTACCGTTTTACTGGATCTATATGATACTTCAATGCAATGTTTGAGTGGTTGATAATAACCGTATATCGTCAATATTATAATATCAAGCTACCATAAATGAATCTGCAAATTTTACAAATCGATTTGCATTATAGCTTGAGGCAAGACAAATAAACAAATATCACAGACATGTTAGGTATCCTAAAATATGATTTTATTAATGATCTTCCTCCTTTCTTTGTACATGTTGAGTAGACTACACTTTTTAGGTCAAACATTTGCTATTTGCATTTCATCGATTGCAAAGTTCAAATCAGAACGAGAATACTAGCGATAGCTAACCATAAAAAACTAGAATATCGTTTACTAGCTACCAGATTGATAATTCGCTACTACTCTAGCGAATTAGAGAGGTTAGAGAGAGGCATTCTTTTTTCGATGGGGGGTTCGATGCTCCCTGCACACGCAAGGTCTCTCGCTCGCTTTCTCTCTCTGCCGTCCGCGCGCGTTGGAGCACAGTCTCTGTCTCGCGTGCGCGCTCGCTCTAGATTCCGGGAGATTTGAACTAATTTGCGGTATAACTTGTCGATCACGAGTGGCTCAACAGGTAGATCTATAGATAAACTCATCTTTCAGGCATTTGACCGACCGGGTTGACAATTTAGCGTGAGAAACCGAGGGTGTGGCGTACGTGTGAGTGTGTGAAACCAATCAAATGCGGGTGTCTCACGGCCAATGCGTGAGTTGGCAGCTCTGCAATGTTGATCCTCGTTCTGCCTTTAACGCGATCACTTTCTCTTTTTCTCTTTTTGCTTTGCTCCGATAAAACCTTTGCTTTCTTGTTTTTCTGTGCTGCTTCGGCCATGACTATAACATTTGGCTCGCAAGTCCGATTTTAAGGAAGTGGGGGTGGTGGTGGAAGTGACGTATATGCCGTAAAGCAGTCGAAT